TTCATCTTTTGGATGTGACACTTTAAAACAACATCACTAAAACCATACACACCATACAGCAGGAGAGAAACAGTAAAACAGGAACTCTCTCTCATTAGAGACTGAAGTAGAACCCAGAAAGTGCCTGCTAGGTGTCCTTGAAACAAAGTTACAGTCAAGCAGGTTCCTGTAGGTGTGCGTGTTTCATTTAACCATCCTTGTTTAATTTATGGTTTCATTTAGGGAACTCCAGTTTATACAGCCGCTTACATGTATTAGGGAGCTGTTAAGAGATATATTCTAAAACACTTCTTCAGCAGAGAATCAGAGAGGAGAAACACAGATTTTCTTGCTAGCAAGGGCAGCCTCCAGAGCTCACACACCAAGAGTGAGGCTCCAAGAGTCGCACTGAGGACTGCCCCGGTCTTTATTTATATACTTCAGTGGGCGTGTGTGTGTGACCCCATAAACGACTTCCCTTAACCTGCTGGTCTGGAAAATCCAACAGTTCATCTATATGTAAAAAGGCACTTAGACTAAAACTGACATAGCTACGTTAATCCTACCGTAAAACAATAAGACAAGGTACGACCTTCCCCATGCTCCTAGGATGTGGAGGTGAACGCCAGGACACCCTAAAAAGTACACAACGTTGTTACAGACCTCCTAGGATGGGACATTCTTTCAATATGCCACCAACTATATACTTCTAAACACAAATGATTACATGCAGTATTCTACCATATGCAAACTTATATCATTAAAAGATTATACTGACTACTAAGTACAATTTTCCATTGACAGGAGCGTTGCTTTAAATGTGAAATGACTTGACTCCACAGAGAGCTACATGAAAAATGATCATCGATGCAGGGTTCCCAAAGCCCTGTAGTCCATTCCTGTTAGTCTGCTATCATTTTTCCACCCATGAAAGCCTGTTTACTGTTGAGTTGCATTGTGGGTAATAGGTATCAGATTTTGAAAAACATCAGGCTCTGGCTCTGAGAGCTTATTTCTGAGTTAAAGGAAAAACAGTATTAAACACTGCATCAAATCTAATCCCTTTCTCTCAACCTGAATCCGATTCTTCTGCTTCATGAAATAAAACAGTGAGGTGATTTACTTGTATTAAGTTCTTGCTAATAAAGGCTTCATATTTTCAAGTTCAAGTTCAAATTTTATTCGCCACATGCAGTGGTAGGTTGCCCTGCAGTGGAATTTTATCGAGTTTTATGAGAAAGTAAGTGCATACCAATCAGAAGATGACCTGTAAGTGAACAAAGATCTACACCATATATCAAGTGGACACGACATCCTTTAAGGATTTTATTCTCTTTGTGTCCTCATCTCAAAATTTCAGATCAAACTGAATGCCATTCTCATCCCATGTAAGGGTAACGTTGCAACCTGGTTATTTCCCTTATCCATTTGTCAGCCTCAACTAACTGTTTAAGCTTTTAAACTAAAAAGTCAAAGAGAAGAAAAAACAGCATTTAAATCTGTCCAAAAACAAATTCTCATATATGAGAACCTTAAACTGATAAATGATTCTTTATCAGGACAGATCCTTGCATGCGTTTGTTTGCTGCTCTTCTAACAAACTGATGAGATGTTGAACAAGGTAAAAAGCAAGGCAGCATGTTCTTGAGATCTTGGCATGCCCACTGTAGCACTGTAGGTGTGTCCATGTGCTACTGAGTCACCTAAAAATGATGGTAATGTCAGTGTGACCTGTTACACAGCGCACGGTAATAACCTGACCTGTGCCCACACACCTTCAGCTCTTTTAGCATCGCGGATGCTGACTCACACAACCACCCACCGAGAGCACGTGCAAGGCGAAGTTTAAAAGTGCCCCGATGTTTGCTGAGAGTGACTCAGCGCCACTCGCACACCGTGGGAGCACGCTCGCTGTTGACACTGCAAAGTGTGATCCAACGTGCTCTGAAAACGACACATGTGCTGCTTCGAGTACAGGTTTGTCGAAGTCATGTCAATTATACATGCACCACCGTGGATTCACTGCAAAGGCAGGCGGCCCACATAGCTGTGCGCGCCGTGTAGTGTTGTATAACAAGCAGGCTCGCTCACATGAGGGCTGTTATGCAAAAAGACAAGCAGCTCGTCTGCTGTTTTGCATAATTCATAAACATGTTTTGATTCTGTTGCTTGCGGGTGATAGAGGCCCGGACGGCGTGCTCACCGGTTGATCTCTAAAACGTGCTGTGCTCGTGTTAAAGTTGAAATTACCCCTTTGTCGTCGTCAGTCTGCTCCTCGTTCTTCTTAGTGGCAGCCTGTGCGGATGAAGATCTGGTCTGCATGGTCCTGGTGGAGCAGCGGCGACTGGAAACGTCCCAGTTACCCGTAAACAAAACATTACCCGCCGGGCCCCCCCTGCTGTTTGGGCGCCCGTGTGTGAA